GTCCAATGGATGATGATCTGATTAGTCGACTAATCGCAAAATTAATCAGTGAGTAGTCGACTATCAAATTAATCATTTCTGGCAGCCCTATTAGACATATTAGTCATCATAAATGAACATATCAGGATAAAGTCTTGGAAAATGTGATACTTAGTCCAAACACTTTACGTGGACCTTAAATCCAACAGGAAGGAACAAGAACATGAAATCGAGGTGGAGCATAAAGTATCCTGATGTGAGCTGAGGGAACGTCCTCCCTGGTTTATGCGTTTCCTCTACTTTCCCGAGAAAGCAAAAGCAAAAACACATAAAAGACGTCACATCTGAAGTCACAGTCAATGCTGCGCTTCACAGTTTTAAATAAAGTGATCCAAAATGTTCTCAGTTCTTCCTCCACCTACGCTCCACCTCTCCACCAAGCACAGTTAATGAAATCCGCTCAGTGACTTTGGTGTAATCTCACCGACAGACGGCTGCAAACATCTCTGAGCCCCGGCTCTCGCCGTGAAGCAGAATAATGTTGAAGATCTGATTCAGTGAAACTCTACATTTGTGTGTTTGAGATATTTGAGTGAATCCTGACTCGTGTTTGTTCTTCAGCCACAGATACTTCACTCCTCCAATCAGGAAGACCAGGAGCCACTGACAGGTCAAGTCCCGACGCCACCGCGAACTCAAGCTCCACCTTCCACTAACATCTGCCCCGCACATCCCGAAACCCCTGCTGACAGACTCCGCAACCCCCGAGCTCCCAGTTCCACCCATCCAGCAGCCCACGTAGGAGAGGATGACGGGGAAAAGCAGAGGAAGGTGGAGGAGACGAAGTCGGGGGAAAGGAAGAAAACCCACAGCAGGTACCTGCAGCCGCCGCAGCCCTCCAAGCTCCGCCTCTTCCCAAAGACGAGGGCAGCACGCGACCCCGACACCAACAGCACCTCTGGACTGAATTTCAGAACGCTGGCCTTCACCTCCACCTCCTCCCGCCTCCCCAAACCAAAGAACCACTGAAGCGTCCGACCCCTTCCTAACACGCAGCGACGCGAGCGCCGAACTTCCTGTAAAATAAAACGAGAGCTGCAGATTATCGAAGCTTTAGCCGAGGCTGAAATGGACACAGTTAATTTATTTAACCTTATTTTAAGAAGTTGTTGACAATAAAGGTTTTAGTCTGAGTACTTTGCACAGAAACGGTTTCTGCAGTGAGTGGGAGGAGCCATCAGGTTCATCTGAAGATGGAACGGAGGTATGTGAGGTTTTGGCTCTTCATCACAACCTTTAAGGATCTTTAAATGTCAGGGTTTTATTTTCTTTCCAACACGCTTCGTTTATTCTAGCATCAACACTAAAACTGCACCGAGAGCGTCCGTTAACCAGACGGAAACGCCTCCGATCTCGTCCTCTGATCGGTATTTAAGAGCCGCTCCTCTGCTGTTGGTTTCATATAAAACATCGGTCCTCCTCCCTCAGAGGCTCGCTCCCTCTCGCTGTGTGTTAGGAACCGATTGTACAGCTCCTGAACTTCCTCCGACTCCTCCATCCTTCCCTGAAGTCCAACCACAGTAAGTCTTCCTCAGTGGAGAGGCATGAATGACGTGCATCCACCTTAACCCCCATCACCACCGCAGACTGCATCCTCCTCCAACCTTCATCTTTACAGACTCGCATCATCTCGAAGGTCAGAAAGTTCCAGGACCTTGATCTCGTCGCCTGTCCGTGTGTTTTCAGTTCGGTGTTCACTTCACTGTGTTTCGCTTAGAAACCTGTTGGTTTTCAGACAAGACTCCGATATGAGGCTGAAATCTTCGTCCAAATAGCTGCTGGTTGGTGTGAACACCTCCTTCCTCCTGCATCAGCTGTGAAAGTGTGGCAGTCTTTGTTCCCATGAAAGCCGATGGAAGAACATCTGTGTGCTTGAAGAGTCCTGAAGTTGGAGGTTTTTTACCATCTGGCAGTGATTTGAAAATCAGTCCAGCAGAAGTCTGGATGGACACAAAAGTCTCAGCATGCTGCAAGCGCTCCAGCTCTGTTCTGACTTTCATGGTTTGGGGATGTTTGTTTCAGTCTACTGTGACTGTCCCCCAAAAACCCTCCAACTAAAATAAAATCAGAGCTCCAGACGTGACTCCAGGCTTTGCTGTTTCTGCAGAGGAAGCGTTCAGGCGCTCAGCAGAGACATCTGCTGAATCTGCTCTGAGCTTTGAGCTCTGCTGTGGAAGCAGAAATCACAGCGTGCAGGAGGAGGAAGGTTTCCTCCCAGGTCAAAATAATCCCTACTAATCTGATACTGGAACGAGATGTTTTAGCTCCTCCCCCTTTGGTGTGAACTAAAGAGCCACACCAAGAGATGAAGGAGCTCCAATTGGTTTGCTTTTTAGGAAACGGCTGAGATGAGCTCGGCAGTATGGTGTGAAGCATGCTGAGGCCTTCTTGTCTGAAGGCTGGAGTCATTTCAGATACTCAGTAAACAAATAAAAGGCTAGAAAGTTCAAATAATTTTCGGATTACAGGTGATCAGAGGAGCAGCTGGTAGCTTAAGTGTTTTTCCTTGAAGGCAAACTGACATTTCAGCCCGTCTGTCAGTCGTCCTTTGAACATTTGGACATTACTGCGTCTCACTCGTGCAGTCAGGATCCGCCTGCTGAACCACGTTCACGTTCATTCTTCTACAGGACAACGAGTCTCCCTCATACCTGACAAATCAAACATGGTCTCCCTTCTGTCAGCGATTAACTGTCAGTGCTGCTCGCTTTGATATTAGTAACCGTATATGCAATAAAATATGCAACAGAGTCGCAGGTTCAAGCCCTAAAAGAGGAAACTTTGTTGCATTTAAAATATATGCAAGACCAGCTCAGCTTAGTTCCACGTTTCACGAAGAAGAGGACGCTCGCTGTCTCTACAGACAATCCGGGAATCTGCTAAATCCTGCATGTCCGGTGCCGAGAAACGAAGTAGAAACGGTTTTGGGGCGATTACTGAAACCACGAGGCGGCTCGGTGTGAAGAACGACGGCAGACTGAGGAAACCGCCCGGCTGCAGCTCGCATCTACCCCAACAGCAGAGTCTGACTGTGCTGGCGTCAGGTTTGCTCACATTTGACTGATCAATGCATTTAAATGCTTTAAATCCTCGTTCAGCTCTGAGCCGCAGCGACTTTAACATGAGCAGGTTTCTCAGACGTCTGCTCTTAACTTTCTGCTGCGTCACTGCTCAGGTGGAGTCGCTCGTCTCCTTTAGATCTCGTCGTTCGCTCCCAGTGGGGAAATCGGAGCCGCCTTAATTCATGCGAGCGACACGAAGCCCAGCAGGGCGCGTTCGCAGCAGAGCTTCAGCTGCTGCTGCTCTTAAAGTTCATCATCAAAGTCCTGGAACACACAGAGTCTGCAGGAACGCTGTGATTGATGTTCCTCGGTGAGCCCCTCATCGACGGGGGGAAATTAAAGCAGAAGGCAAACAGGGAATGTCCGTTTGAAATGAAAGAGGAAAATAAATTAGTGCACTGTGTTTATTTCATCTGCTTCAAACAAGGTTTGACGTTTTCTTTTCCACCTTTTCACCAAAAACGACCAGAAAAAATGAAAAAAATCAGCCTCCTCAAGGCTCCGCCTCGGCCTTCGTGTCTCTGTCTGCGCCTGTTTGTCTAAACCCTCCAGAAGCTGAAATAATGGAAGTGAGCAGCTCTGAGCGAAGACTCGCTGAAAGCTGCTGAATCTGAAACAAGCAGCCCATCACAGCTGTTTGTTTGATATACCTCCTGTAATCATGGAGACTAATCGGGGCAGCTGAAAACAAGCATGTCCAATCAGCGCAAAGCACGAAAGAAAACCTTCAAAGTAAAACAGGAAGTGAACTAAAGACACAGAGCAACCAAAACCTCTAAAATCTGAAACAAAACCCGGAGCAGGACGGTTACGGAAACTCGAGGCAAAAACCAGGAGCTTAAAATAGTCCAGCTTTGTCTCTGAGGCGTCCTCTGCAGTCAGAGGAGGTCGTGTCTCAGCGTCTTCATCTGCTGCTCGTCTTCACACCGTCGTGTCTCAGGTTTAATTTTAAAGTTTGGCCCTCATCGTTATTCAAACATCCAATCAGGTTTTATCAGCTGCCGAAGTTTAAAAGTGACTAAAACCACCCGGGGAGAGAAAAACCTTCTGCCCGGGTCACAGAGTGTGAACCATGAAGTCGTGGTCATGTACATTACACAGAGCGTTAGTGTGTTTGTCTCACAGAGTTTTTAAATCATTATTAAACTCGATCACATCCGCTTCATCACTTATTTGACTGCTTTTAAGAAAACTCTGCATTTTCTTCTGTGCTTTCAAAATAAAAGTCTTCTGTGTAGGGAGACTGTACACTAAACATTTTTTAGTCCTTAAAAATAACTTGAATACATTTATTTACATGTAAATTTTCCATGTAATTTAGTTGCATAAGTACAGTTTAAAATGTTAACTCGACTGCTATACGTTCAGTTTACACCAAGCACATTTTCCTTAATAATTACTTATTTAAATCAATGAAACTTTGACTTTTACATATTTCAGCTGCACTTAAAATTGTTGCTTATGCTTATTAAGAGTGAAGAATCATTATTTGAGTGTAACTTTAAGTTCTCAGACTGGTTTTATTGTGACACACCTGTGCAGGAAGTACTGAGATTCACTAACAGCTCAACAACAATTATAAGAAACAATTTCACAATAAAAGCCAATAATCCTGAATGCTTTTACTGTGAAATAAGGGGGTACAGCAGTTTCTTTAAAGCTAGCTTAACAGTGACAAAAACACACAAGGTAGAAAACACTGATGATCAGCAGAGAAACACATTTAAAGTGTTTTTATCAGGATGAACGTTACGCTCGATCCGTGAAGTCAGCCCTGCTGTGGAAAACCTCTCTGCTGTTGTTTGAAATAATTAAATTATTGAAGGCTTTATGAGTAAAGTGCTGGGAATGTTTTCATGTTCACTTTGAGATGACTCTAATATTTCATAATCGTCTGTATTTAAACTGTATTTAAACGATTCAGTGGAATACTCTGAATAATATACTCACGCTGTGTCTGTCTTCTACTTCCTCTCTGCTTTTATTTTGAAAACTTGAACTTTTGTTTGTTTCCTGGTTTTGGTGCAATAACTGATGTATTTATGTGATGAAGCGTGTACGTGGTGCGGACTGTAACGTTGTTGAAGCGCCGAGAGGAAAAAGCACTTTAAAACAAGCGTCTCACCTGCTGAACTTATTTTTTTGTCTCATTAACGTTGATGCAGCGTTCAGGTCGTACCAAGTGAAAACGTAGCGCCTGTATTCCTGTCAGCGAGGCTCTTTGCAGCTCATTGGTTGATATTTACGGTCCTCTTCTGTCATTGGCTGACATTTCTCTGATGCTGCTGAAATAAAATTAATCGTCCCCAGCTCTCGGTGTGTCCTCCCTTCTTTCTCCAACTGTGCCAAAGTCGAGCCACATTAGAGCGGGAAAGGGTGATGTCGTTCATGGGCGGAGTCTGTGCAGCAGAGATGTCAGGTAGGATCTCCTCTGCCCTGCCCACATGTGGCACAGATGTGCTGGGACAAAGTAAATTAGACGTTTATCCTTCACAGCATGAAAATATGAAAACTGGCTGTTCAAAATGGCCACGCCCCCACCTGCCACGCCCAATTATTACACCATCTTTAATGATTTTTAAATGTGTTTATATCAGTCATTTGAGAGTCAGTATCGGTGTAAGAACGGACGGAGAAATTTGGCCACGCCTCTTTGAATTCCGTCGTTTTCAATTCCACAGCAGCTCAGCCAGGAAGTGTTAGAGCTGGTGAACTTACATGGCGGGGTCACAGAGAGCGGAGGTTCACGCCCCCTCCTGGCTTTAACATCAGCACAAAGTAAACTGCAGAGGAGCTTCGTGTCATTAGCGTCAGAGATAACGGTGTGTTTAAGGCAGAGGATCCATCAACCCCCCCTTCACGTGTTTAACAGGTAAGTGTGACTCTGGACACGCCCACTCAGTTTCT